AACCAAGTATCGGATAAAATATTAACTCAAATGTCTAAAAATAATTCTAGAAAATTTTGTGACCAAAGTTTTTCTGGAATCGACGCAAAATACCATAAAAGTTTTAATTAAAAAAATTAGAATTTAAATAAAATATAAAATATTATAGTTATGTTGATAAGCAAACCCAATCCAAAGAGAGGGCCAACAGAGCCTCATATTTACACCGTCCTCAAAAACATTTCTTACAAATTATTCATGCCACTGCATTTTTCGTGTATTAGAAGAGAAGAAAACGTTTTTATTTTTGTCAAATTTTATTATTTAATAAAGTCAGTACAATTTACTATTTCTATTTTATTTATTTTAATATATCGAAGACCTTAAAATACAAGTGACTCGGGCATGTTTTAACCTCTGAGAGGCCCTGTCGACAAACATTTTTATATTAGTTTTTAATTGAACTTTGTACTTGATACACGAGAAAAACTGTTACTCTTTAAGACAATTCTCAACAAAATATACTCTATATAATAAAAATATACAAAATATTTTATTTAATTTTTATGCATAATATTTATTTAAAAATTTTCTACGATAAATTCTCTTATTTTATACATGGATTAAGTCTATTAGATATTATATTAATAAATATTTCCTTTTGAAAATAGACTGTACAGAATATAATGTATCCTTTTATAATGCAGTATTTAATATAGAATTTTCAAACATGGAAACAAAAACTTATGCCAGAACAATGACAAGTTTCTTTAAATTGAGCATAAATTTACTTGAAAAAATTCGTTTTATCATTTGATTGCAAACTTTCTTACGGTTAAATTCTATTTTGAGCTCTGAATAAAATAAAATGGCTTTAGCAAGTACTTCTTTATTAAATACAAACGCATTTGTAATAATTATTAAGCAAGATGTACTTTTTTTTTAATACTCTTTTCACCCTGTGGGCACTAAGAGGGTCCCTTATAGCAGGCACATTATGGGCTCGGCCAGGCCCACAATGGGGCGACCGGGTGGTGAGAGACGTGGCTTGACATATCGGAACGGACCACCCCCCGAAAAATTCCTGGGGATTTCTTGACCTGTCCGGATCCGATCCCAGGTCCCCCAGAGCGGTAGGCTGCCACCTTGACCGCTAGGCCATCCGGCCATCAAGACGTACGTCATGTAATAGACTGCGGGATTCCGGACTGAAAAAAATNTTTATCATTTGATTGCAAACTTCCTTACGGTTAAATTCTATTTTGAGCTCTGAATAAAATAAAATGGCTTTAGCAAGTACTTCTTTATTAAATACAAACGCATTTATAATAATTATTAAGCAAGACGTACTTTTTTTTTAATACTCTTTCTGCCCTGTGGGCACTAAGAGGGTCTTTTATAGCAGGCACATTATGGGCTCGGCCAGGCCCACAACGGGGCGACCGGGTGATGAGAGACGTGGCCCGACATATCGGAACGGACCACCCCCGAAAAATTTTTGGGGATTCCTTGACCCGTCCATATCCGATCCCGGGTACCCCAGAGCGGTAGGCCATCCGGCCATCAAGACGTACGTCATGTAATAGACCGCGGGATTCCGGACTGAAAAAAATAGAAAATTTTTATAATTTTAAGACAGGTGTTTTATCATTCAATGCTTATAAAAGTTTATATAAGGCTTATTTACTTTCAGTTTTATTTTTTTTTCTATATTAAGAAGCAAACCAAAATGTAAGCTAACTTTAAGAAAAAAATACAATTGCCTTTCAATAAAAAAAAAAACNTTTTTTTTTCTTTCGTGGTGGTGATGAGGACGACGATGGAGGAGGAGGAGGTGGTGGTGGTGATGACAATGGAGGTGATGGTGAAGGTGGTAGTGATGAAAGTGGCGGTGCTGGTACTGCTTTTTTTTCAAAAGTTGAAGCTAGCAGTGTTTCAGGAAGAGGACTAACATTGGCTTTTAATTGGCTTGGACATTGGCTTGGACAAACAACCTCACCCCAACAATCAGCAAAACTTTTGTCAACAAAGACCTTGGGAGATATAGAAGTCACTATAACACCACACATGAGTTTAAACTCATCACGTGGTGTGATATCTGAGGCAGATTTGATGTCTGAAAGTGAATCAGATATCCAGATAGGCCTTTCAGACCAAGGTGTCACTGCCGTCAGACGCANTCTCTCATGTGACGGCATCCCCTTGTTGGGCCCCATGGTGGGTGGGGTCACTAGGAGCTGAATATTGAAATTTTTCAATATGGATTCAAAAATTACCGAACATCAATGTACAGATATAATACCACCAAAGGACGAAAGTTTATCCAACCAGCAAACTTACTTTATAGCTCATGCTATCAATGAAATACCTCTGTCTAAACGTTCCCCTTTCCTAATACAAAAATTGTTCCAATCCACCATCGGAAATTTGAAAAAAATTCAAAAGTTGAGATCAGGAGACCTGCTTTTACAAACAACCTCACCCCAACAATCGGCAAAACTTCAGTCAACAAAGACCTTGGGAGATATAGAAGTCACTATAACACCACACATGAGTTTAAACTCATCACGTGGTGTGATATCTGAGGCAGATTTGATGTCTGAAANGTCAACAAAGACCTTGGGAGATATAGAAGTCACTATAACACCACACATGAGTTTAAACTCATCACGTGGTGTGATATCTGAGGCAGATTTGATGTCTGAAAGTGAATCAGATATCCAGATAGGCCTTTCAGACCAAGGTGTCACTGCCGTCAGACGCATCTCTATCCGGCGCGATGGCAAGTTGATACCTACAAAACATCTTATAATCACGTTTAACAAGCCAACATTGCCATCTTCTGTTACAGCAGGATATCTCCGTTGTCAAGTTCGCCCATACATTCCAAATCCACTGCATTGCTTTAAATGCCAGCGGTTTGGACACTCACAAACATCTTGCCGTGGGAAAAGTGCATGCGCCCAGTGTGGAAAAGAAGATCATGAGAGTACTGAATGTACAACTACTCCATGCTGCGTCAACTGCAAAGAAGCTCACCCTGCCTACTCCAGAAAATGTCCTACATGGCAAACAGAAAAAGAGATACAGCGGGTGAAGACTGTAAATAATATACCTTACCCGGAGGCACGTCGCATGGTCACTTTAAGTGCACCAGTGAGACAGAAAACATTTGCTGCTGTTCTGAAATCCACAAAGACATGTGGAGTTCAGACAGACATTTCTGTTTCACCAGATGAATCGCTAACATGCCATGCAAAATGTTTGTTGATACAATCTACCCAAACAGCTGAAAGGGAGAACAAGAAAAGCAAAACACCCCTACCTAAAACAGGGGTAACAACCAGGAATGTGGGTTCTAAAAAAGCTAGCAAGAACCCACTAAACAAACAGAGAGTGAAAGCAGCTCTCTCTAAACCTAAAAATTCAAAGGCTCAGTCTATGAGTGAGTTCTCTGACTTCTCTGATGAAGAGAATAATAAGGGGGTGACACCACCAACTTCACCTCCAAAAGGCAAATCAGCTGTGAAATTAAAGAGAGATAACCTTGTTAAAAATGCTGCCTCAAACACATAATGGATTATAAAATACAGTAGACCCCCCTATAACGCTTAGATACGTTCCAAGCTAACCGAAAATTACGTTGTAGGAACGATTAAATACATGAGCCAATCGCAGCCCGATACGTGGGAACTTTACTGACTAAGGCTGTTCGAAAGGTTTTCTTCTATAAAATTAACCGATTCTAGACTAATTTGACTCAACATTTCCAAAACACGTATAATTTTTTGAGAGTAATCCGTATAAACTATGCTATAAACAAAAAATTATAGGATTACTTACCGAGTGTGTACCGTTCGACTACGCCCGTTGTTCAAAGCTTGTCTTCGTCGCGGAACAGCACATGAAACGGCGCCCGCGATATCTGATAAATAATTTATCGCAGAAAGATAACTTGACCTTTGGAGACATCATTAATATAAATAATTTTTATGGCCGTTGAATAAGAAGTGTTTCTTTCACAAGAAATGTA